AAAAAAGTTAGTTTAGTTGAAGTTTCCTCCTGTGGTAACACTGGATCAATAAGTGATGATCCTTACTGGACCTCTAGGAAGAACAGTTTAGAACTGATAGAGCTATCCAGTATAAATAAAGTTAGTTTAGTTTAGGTTTCCTCCTGTGGTAACACTGAATCAATAAGTGATGATCCTTACTGGACCTCTAGGAAGAACAGTTTAGAACTGATAGAGCTATCCAGTATAAATAAAGTTAGTTTAGTTTAGGTTTCCTCCTGTGGTAACACTGAATCAATAAGTGATGATCCTTACTGGACCTCTAGGAAGAACAGTTTAGAACTGATAGAGCTATCCAGTATAAATAAAGTTAGTTTAGTTTAGGTTTCCTCCTGTAGTAACACTGGATCAATAAGAGATGATCCTTACTGGACCTCTAGGAAGAACAGTTTAGAAGTGATTAAAGTGGAAAACGGCTTTACCGGAGTTGATAACCTTTCTCTTCTATTTTATATGTAGGCTACAGAGATTCCTGGCAATGCTTCAGGGAACACAACAGTATTCATCACAATACGAGATCTTAATGACAACAAACCAATTTTTCGAACAGAAGGTTTTACATATACCGCCAGTATACCAGAGAACACTCAAGTAAGGACTGCCATATTCTTTCAAATGGGAGCCATTGATTATGATCGAGAGGTAAGGGATATTCGTGCAGATTTCATTAAGCAGTATCGTGCAGCAGATGGTGATCAACCTGCAGTTATCAGAGTGAGAAAATAATGTTCATTCTTTAATTGATATGTAATAATCTTCAATTTGAAAATTGACCACAATCTGCTGTCATGCAACGTCTCTGTAAACCAGTAAATAAGTAAAAAAGTACAAAATTTCGTTTAGCTTTTCTCTTGAAACATCAAATCAAAGTGTACTTTTTTCGTATTTTTTCTGCAGGCAAAAAATGCTAAATTTCAATATTCCATATCTGGCGATCCTGAACATGTGTTCAGCATTGATCCGAACATTGGAAGAATCGAGTTGAATAAATCAGTTGACTACGAAATGAAACAACAGTATACCTTCTTGGTAAGGGTAATTTTTTATGTTGACCACTGATGATCCGTCGAAAGGATGAGTCATATTTCTGGTCTACGACGGGCTAATACAATTGCTATTTTACAGGTAATTGCAACTGAAACAGACTCAATTGAAAAATATTCAGCCAATCAAACAGTAATTGTGAATATTACCAATATTAATGATAATGATCCTATGTTCAATGAAAGTCAGTATAATTTTACTGTGAATGAAGGCGATTCTGTTGGCACTGTTCTGGGACAGATTACGGTAGGTTAAAGGTTATGTGGTTTTTGACGTTGTTACTTTTGTTTGTATTTTGTATCGTATCTTGTTGTCGTTGTTGTTGTTGTTGTCGTTGTCGTTGTTGTTCGCTTGTTTACTAATTAATTTCTGTCTGATTTAGGCTCACGACAATGATATTGGAATATACGGTAAAATAACCTACACGCTTTCTGGAAGGGGAGCTGAAATGTAAGTGGGATTTTTAAAAGAAAAGGACAATTCCGATCACTGAATCATGACACTAGTCTTATGCAAAGAGCCATTGTTATGGTAGAGATCTTACTAATGAACAAACACTATTTTGCGCAGGTTTATAGTTGACAAAAACAACGGGACGATTTCTGTGGCAAGCAAGTTAGATTTCGAGTCTGAACCAAGTTATGCTATCGACCTTGAAGCCAAAGATGGCGGCAACAAGATCACTGAAGTATCCGTGATTATTGTCATCACCGATGATAATGATAATCCACCGATATTCGATCCACCTGGGACAACATCGGCCTCACTTGATGAAAATGAGGAGAATGGCTTCCTTGTTGTTACTGTTAAGGTTGGGTTTGTTTGTTTGTTTTTTTGGGGTTTTTTTTTGGGGGGGGGGAGAGTACAGGCCTTAGTTTAGGTTTCCTCCAGTACTAACACTGGATCAATAAGGGATGAACTAATTATTGGACCTCAGGAAGAAGGGCTTAGATTTATCCAGTATAAATAAAGTTAGTTTAGTTTAGGTTTCCTCCTGTAGTAACACTGGATCAATAAGAGATGATCCTTACTGGACCTCTATGGGAAGAACAGTTAAGAACTGATAGAACTATCCAATATAAACAAAGTTAGTTTAGTCCTTAACCGTGGTTTAGTTTAGGTTTCCTCCTGTACTAACACTGGATCAATAAGAGATGATCCTTACTGGACCTCTATGGGAAGAACAGTTAAGAACTGATAGAACTATTCAATATAAACAAAGTTAGTTTAGTCCTTAACCGTGGTTTAGTTTAGGTTTCCTCCTGTACTAACACTGGATCAATAAGGGATGAATTTTACTGGACCTCTAGAAAGAAGGGTTTAGAACTGGTAGAACTGAGTCAATTTACTCTAGTTTAATTTCTAGTTCTGTTATCAACCCTGCAATTATTTCTTTTTTCATCAGGCAAACGATGCTGACAGTGGTTCAAACGCCGACATAAGATACTCCATCGTTGATGGGGATCCACTGGGTAATTTCACAATTGATGACGTCACAGGAAATATTACAACCACAGGGCCACTTGATTTTGAAACTCGGTCTGAATTTTCGCTGGTTATAATGGCCGAGGATCAGGGAACACCGCCTCTTAATACAACGAAAATTGTTGCTATTACAATAATGGTAAGTATGAAATTTGTTGGTGATTATGATGGTGGTGGTTTTGATGATGATGGTAATGATGATAGTGGTGGTGGTTTTGATGATGATGGTGATGATGATGGTGGTGATGGTGATGATGATAGTGGTGGTGGTAATGATGATGTGGTGATGATGGTGATGATGATGATGATGGTGAACAATGATGTGGTGGTGGTGATGATGGTGGTTTTGATAGGGATGTTTTTGCTGTTATTTTTGCTCCTGTTGTTGTCCTTGTCGTTGGTATTGCTTTTGTTTTCTTATCGAATAAGGGACAAAATAAACTCCACTAATCTTAATTATTATTTCTATCCCTCAGGATACGAATGATAACGGACCTTATTTCAATCAAACATTGTACACAATTTCGCTGATGGAAAATACGGACATCGACTACCCTATTGTACAACTGCATGCATTTGACAAGGACAGCGGAGCAAATGCAGAGCTCGTGTACTCTATTGTGGAGGGAAACAGCGCGAAGATGTTCACAGTCAACGTGGATGGTCTTGTATTGACACGAAGCTCGCCCGATAGAGAGTCGACCTCAGTATACACCTTGAATGTAAGTTCGTCTTTCTAATATTAGTGAGATTTGCATTTGACCTACGCTACCGAACAGACAATGCCAGAAATGTACACACTTACAAGAGCATATTGTGAACTATCCATGAATATAACACATGCCTGGATTTATATATTGGAATCAATGGGATAAAGTGTGGAACTCTTTTGTTTATTTTAGGTGTCCGCATCAGATAGTGGAACACCAAAGATGTACGCGTATGCAACGGTAAATATTTAAATTTTAAATTTTTACATTTGTTAGATTTAATTGTTATATCTATATGTTTTATAATCTTTCTCTGCATGTAGGTTGTAATTAACATTCTCGACGAAAATGATGATTCACCCAAATTTCAAACAAGTACGTGGTTCTAGTTTTCTAATTTTCTAAACTAACTTTATTCAGCTCCATCAACTCTAAATTGTTTTCCAGTAAGGCTTATCCCTTGTTGATCCAGTGTTACTACGTGTGAAAATCGGAGTACCTCGAGAAATCCTGCGGTATTTCGTAGAGTCAAACTGGAAGCACTCTTCTCACATGTGACTGAGGTGAAATTATAATCAGACAACTCTATATTGCAGGAATCAAACCTCAGTCACAGAGATGAAAGAAACATGCCCTAACCACTCTGATATCCAAACACTCAACCAATACACCGCCCTTGCCATTGTCCTTATATTTATAAACTAAATCAAATTTTCAATTTCTTTCAGCTGTTGACAAGAAAGCTATCAAGGAAGGACCAAGTACAGTGAACTCTACCGTAGCCAACAATACCGCTACAGACAAGGATTTGGGATTGAATGGGACAATTGAGTACACGATAGCTGATGGGAACAATGAGGTCTGTAATGGACATTTGTTAGTCTCAGTATTACTGTATTACAGGTTAAGCAAATGGTGGTCAACGTCAGAAATGGCGACACTTACTGTTTAGGAACAAGAAAATTAAAGTGCGACTAACCCCAAATATAATTTTTGATATATGTAATATTTGGGTCATTTTGAGAGGAAATGTAATATACAGTATCTTTATAGTAAAAAACTTCATCTTGATCAAATTTTTCATTGTCAAAGTTTCCGGATATGATGTCATTAGGTGAATTTTTGGTACAAAAACAAAGGAAAGTCACCTAATGACATCATATCCGTAAACTTTGACAATGAAAAAGTTGATCAAGATGGGATTTTTATTATAAATATATATTACATATCTACTTCAATGACACAAATATTATACACACGAAAAATCAATGACATGACCCAAATATTACAAGATCTCTCAATATTACTACATCTCTCAATTCTATTTGTTTGCCTCCAAATACAAGATTACTACATGTAATGAAAAGAATGAACATTATTTTCTCACTCTGATAACTGCTGGTTGACCATCATCTGCTGCACGATAGTGCTTTGTGAAACCGAAGTATATCTCGTACACAACAGCAATCCCAATTTTAATTCTTCCATTGTTTAGGGAAAATTTGCGATCAACTCTCAAACTGGTAACGTGACTGTCGCCCATGAGTTAGATTTCGAAACCGTCAGAATTTATTCACTGAAAATTGTCGCCACGGACCAGGGAACACCCTCCCTTTCTGGGTAAGTTTCTGGAGTTCATTGCTAAATGAAGTTTCCTGATTAAAATCATAAAAATGTTTTCCGGACTAACATTAGCAAAGCTTAAATATTTTTCCAGACAAACATAACGAAATATTTACTTTCACCAAATTTTACCACCTTTTATCTCAAACTTTGACCAAATTTTGTTCTCAAACTTAGACAAACTTTTGACAAGTTTGACCAACTTTAACCAAATATTGTCCATGTTGACCAACTTTTTGAATTATTGGGGTGTTACACCCTCCCCCAGTAGCAACGTCCCTGAGAAGAATGCTTTCATTCCGCGTATATTAACCACCACAAATTGAAGAAATCCTCTCTCGCTCTTATAAGTTATTCCATTTTGTTTTTCTCTTCAGAGAATATCAACTTGTGGTCGAAGTTCTAGATATTAATGACAATGAACCAAAATTCGGACAACCTGAGTACAGTTTCACAGTTTCTGAGGTACGCTATATTCAATCAGTAAAACTCCGTTAATATAGAATCGAATTGTATTTGCGAGCGGTTTTCAGGGTGCTGTGTCGATGTAGTGTAAGATAATCTTAATCTATACGAGATTAAGCTTACTGCAATGGTCTGAATACCAGCTATGTGATTGGATGGCATGGAAAAGACACAAAACAATGAAAAGACAATGGAACATTCTGATCACTGGATCATGACTGGATGGCATGAAGAACAGTGGGATTTTCAAAACAATAAAAAGACGATGGAACATTTCGATCACTAGACAACAGTGGGATTTTTAAAACAATGACCAAGTACCACAATTTCCTATTACTGGATCGTGACTGAATGGCAGCATTGTTATGCCAAATGCTATGCTAAGAGACCATCAAACCAAGAATTAAAGAAAGTGTGATTTGAAATCATTTATATTATAGAATCGGCCAAGTGAGACTCGTATTGTTGATTTGCGTGCTGATGATCGGGACAGCGAGGAAAATAGATTAATTACGTATTCATTCTCCCGTGGAAATCTTGGTAAGTATCGGTGAAAGTTTGAAAATTTATATGATAAGCTGCTAAGTGATTTGTGGAATCAATTCATGATTTCTCTTGAAGGTTCTGCGTTTTCAATCAACAATGAAACTGGAGAAATTACAACAACGCGACCACTGGATCGAGAGAATACCTCACAATATTTGTTGACAGTCAAGGTAGTTTCTGACTTGTATATATTTAATGCTATATTTCTTGGTTTAACATATTGATTTCTCATTCATAGAGAATCAGTTCATGTAGTTTAGGTTTGCTCTTGTAGCAACACTGCATCAAGAAGACATGATCCTTACTGCACCTCTAGGGAGAACAGTTTAGTTTAAACCTGGTGGGGCTATCCAATATAAAGCTAATTTAGTTTTATTTCGTATCTTTCCAGGCCAAGGACCACGGCAATCCATCACTGGAAGGAACGACTAACATCACCATTACAGTTCTGGACGAAAATGACCAAGTACCACAATTCCGTAAATCTTCACACAACATTTCTGTCGCTGAAAACACTGCTAAAGGAACATCGGTAAGCTGTTTGTCTTCTTAATTTCCTCCTGTAATAACACTGCAGCAACAAGAGAAGATCCATACTAGATCTCTAGAAAGAACAGTTTAGAACTGATAGAGCTATCCAAGTTAGTTTAGTTTAGGTTTCCTCCTGTAATAACACTGGAGCAACAAGAGAAGATCCATACTAGATCTCTAGAAAGAACAGTTTAGAACTGATAGAGCTATCCAAGTTAGTTTAGTTTAGGTTTCCTCCTGTAATAACACTGGAGCAACAAGAGAAGATCCATACTAGATCTCTAGAAAGAACAGTTTAGAACTGATAGAGCTATCCAAGTTAGTTTAGTTTAGGTTTCCTCCTGTAATAACACTGGAGCAACAAGAGAAGATCCATACTAGATCTCTAGAAAGAACAGTTTAGAACTGATAGAGCTATCCAAGTTAGTTTAGTTTAGGTTTCCTCCTGTAATAACACTGGAGCAACAAGAGAAGATCCATACTAGATCTCTAGAAAGAACAGTTTAGAACTGATAGAGCTATCCAAGTTAGTTTAGTTTAGGTTTCCTCCTGTAATAACACTGGAGCAACAAGAGAAGATCCATACTAGATCTCTAGAAAGAACAGTTTAGAACTGATAGAGCTATCCAAGTTAGTTTAGTTTAGGTTTCCTCCTGTAATAACACTGGAGCAACAAGAGAAGATCCATACTAGATCTCTAGAAAGAACAGTTTAGAACTGATAGAGCTATCCAAGTTAGTTTAGTTTAGGTTTCCTCCTGTAATAACACTGGAGCAACAAGAGAAGATCCATACTAGATCTCTAGAAAGAACAGTTTAGAACTGATAGAG